CACAAAATTTGTTGTGAGTTCCTGCATCTCTGAGATCCTATTAGCAACAAAGGAAGTCCATCTATTTGGTTCACCCTTGAGCCAACATAAGACAATACTGGAATCTGTCCACAAATACACATCATTAATTTTAATCTGAACAATTGACAGTACTCTATGAACTAACCGAGAAAGTAATAAAGCTCCACACAATTCTAATCTTGGTAAGCTTATAGTTTTTATAGGAGCAATCCGTGATTTTGAGCAAAGCAAGTTACATGTCACCGAATTGTTTCTATAAATTGCCCTAATATATAAACATGCTCCATACGCTGTCATAGAAGCATCACAAAACCCATGTAATTGTATGGCAACAATCTCCGTTGAATTAAGAACCCACCTTGGAATTTGCAAATGAATTAAACAATGTAAATTTCGTGAGATATTTTCCCATTTTTCCAAAAGCATAGCTGGTAATTCATCATCCCAGGATATTTTGCTAATCCATATTTTTTGCATAAATATCTTTGCAGTTATTACTACTGGGCCCACGTATCCCATCGGATCAAACATTTGTGAGATTTTGGATAATACCAGCCGTTTTGTTACCCTTGGAATCCCTATGAAATGGATGCCAAATAATTCCTAAAACTTTCCCATTTTTATTACAAACATTAAGTTCACCATGATTTTTTCCACGTTTGCAAGAATCTAGAATCGTCGAATCATTGGACAACCATTTATGCAAATAGAATCCACCTGACTGTAACATATTAATCAATTGTTCTCTTAACTTAATAACTTCATCCTTAGAATTTGCACCACACAAAATATCATCCACATAACATTGATTCAAGATAGCGTCTGATGCTAGTGGAAAATTTAACATTTCATTCATTGCCAATTTTTTGAAACAACGTGTTGCCAAGAATGGCGCAGCCTTAGTTCCATATGTGATGGTCTGGAGTTCAATAATTTTCATAGGCCCATCTGGATTCTCGCGCCACAAAATATTTTGTAAAAATAATTGCTGAGGATTTATTTTAATCATTCGATACATCTTTTTAATATCTGACACTAGCACAAATTCATACATACGAAATCTCATGAGAATATCGAACAATTCTGGCTGAACTGTGAACCCTTTGAGCATAATATCATTCAATGATAAACCCGTTGAAGTTTTACTCGAAGCGTCAAATACTACGCGATGTTTTGTGGACGAAGATTCTTCCCTTATTACACAATGATGTGGTAAAAATACTCTATTATGAATTTCATCTGAATCACATTCAATGTATTTGCCATGATTCAACTCAACATACTCATTTATAAAATCCTTATAATCTGCAAATAGTTGAGGATTTCTGCAAAACTTTGCCTCTAAAAACTTAAACCTTTTATAGGCTGCATAAAATGAATTACCTAACTTAAGAAAATCTAATTTGTTTCTCATAGGCAAATCTACCTGAAAAATGCCATGCTCCAATCGTTCACACGAATCTAAAAACAACTTCTCACACAACTTTTCATCCCTCGACAAGAAAGTTTTATTATTGAATTCCTCCAACTGCCAAAATTTTGGAATTGTTTCATTGACATCTTCTGAATCAACCTGGCAATGTAAATTAACATTCTCACAACCTACATGGCATACCGAATTTTTAATATTGAAATCTATTGGAGCTGTTCCACAAACTAACCACCCAAATTCAGAGTTTTGAAGAATTGGCAACCCTGCACCCAAATTTCTAATTTCTGGAAGGATAATTTGAAAATATACATCTGCTGAAATCAACACATCAATTTCCCCTGGTTTATAATAAAAAGGATCTGCCAATTTTATATCTTTCCCAATTTTTAACCTTTCAGTGTCTACCCATATATGAGGAAGCTTGCAAGTTATTTTATCTAGCACAGCACATTTTGTACTTAATTGAAAACTATTGAAATGAGATTCCAATGTCAATTTAACCACTGTATCCACCTGAGTTATTTTATTGCCAATCCCCCCTATTTTAAATGATGTATTATAGCATTCTGCATTTTTTAATTTTTTAAATAATTGTTTTGTAATGAAGCTAGTCTGTGATCCAGAATCCAACAAAGCCCTTGCTTGTACCTTAGATCCATCCTTTAAAATCAAATTTATTTTAGCTGTAGCTAGAAAATCATCCTGATTTATAGATATATTATTTTGAGAAGTATTCCCATTATGATCGTTATTAGTATTTTGCCTGTTATGGTGCTGATCACCCCCACTAGTATTCATTAGTACATCATCATGCAACAATGTATGATGTCTTCTATTGCAAGTTCTACAACCCTGTTTTATTTGACATTGAGCCACCCCATAAGATTTCCCCAAACAATTATAACATAATCGATTAGACTGAATAAACTGCCTTTTATCAGATAAAGACAAAGAAGTGAATTTATAACACTTGTAAATACTATGGTTATCCCTATTGCAGAAGTAACACTTCGTTTTTTGCCCTGTATGTGGAGGATCATGTTGACTAAGCAATATATTTTTGACATTTTTATCTCCAAACCTATCGCTTCGCCTATCCTTAACTACATGCCCATGATTATTAAAACCCTTCACATTTTCAATTTCAATATTTTTTAATGCTATACAACGACTCTCCAAAAATGCAATAAAATCATCAAGAGTTGGCAACATTGAATGCACCTCCGAAGCCCTTTGCCCTATGCTTTTCTCTAACTCATAAGCTTTATGTGTTTGATAATCCAACTTTTGTGAAAAGAGAAACACCAACAAAACGTCCCATTCTTTCACAGGCAATTTAAGTGCTTTCAAAGAGTTGACATGCTGTCTTATACGAGTTAGAAATGCCCTAAGTTGTTTCCCTGTACCTTTTGGGATATCAGGTGTATCCAACATACCCTTCAAATGAGAATTAATGACCGCTAACTTATTTTCGTACCTATTTTTGAGTAAATCTAAGGCTTGAGTATAATTATCATTGGTTAATGGTGAATTGTTGATTAAATTCAATGCCTCACCTGCCAATGCACCCTTTAGATACAAAAACTTTTGCACATTGTCTAAATATGAATGCCCATCAATTACTGCCAAAAATAAATCTATAAAAGTTTGCCAATCTTCTATTTTCCCTGAAAAAGATGGAATATTAACGCTTGGCAAACGCGCATTAGTTTGTACACCAGAACCAGCAGCAGCCGGCATTACTTGAGCGAGAGATTGCTGCAGATTTGCAGCCGTTAATTGATTCGCTTTTTTAATTGTAGCTTTTAATTTTGATAATATTGTTAAGTAATTTGATTCAACATCACCTCTATCCGTCTCTAAGCTATGTTGAATTGTACAGTAATCTTGAAATGCTTTTTCCAAAAACAGTTCTCTGGTTTCATATTCACTTACATCGACAGTAGTTAAAATCTGTTTTTTATTTAAAGATAATTCCCCAAGTCAAAAATTTAGTAACTATGTTGGCAACACAAGCCTTTTCTACATAAAAAATTTGAAAGCATTGACAATTTTACATTGTAATGCCAACATAATGTCATTTTGACTTTTATCTTTAAAAAAAAAACACACTTTACATTCTCATTAGCTAAAACAAATGTTTTTACTCTTGTTATCGAACCCTTCACAACAGCTCTTTGTTTTTTCAGAGCTTCCATTTTAATACTAGGTACCTATGTAAAAATTAAAATATTGCCTAAACAATAGGTATTGATAAACAAACCTACAACACTTTAACAGATAAAATCAATTCAAAAGTTTAAATTTTTCACTCAAACTATTTGACAGCACCTTTCCTTCAATTTGACACCTCTGCCATGCAAAATTTAATTAAAAATGTGACCTCAATGCTTCAATTCATTAATCCATATCAATCCAATGATTCCATGTCCATTTATCTAGTTCTGAATCTCCATAAACCAATACCAATTTATCCGACTCGAAGGACCAAAATGTTGGGACAATCGATAATTAGGACTGTACGATGGCCAACAATGAGTTTTCTCTGCTTTCCTATTCCCAACTTGCTTCTAAAATTCTTCCGAAGGACCAACTGACGAATAAAAGCCCAAAAATGTCAGTAAATGCTCTATTTGGATTCAAGCGGTATTGGTTTATTTCATGTTTATTTCAACATTTTCAACAATTTATTAAGGTCACAGGTCAGGTACCTAGATGAAATATAAATCCTTGATTATATGACCTGTCTTATTTAAGTTTAAATCTAAGGTTTAATAATAAGAATTATCCATGTCAACCTGACCGGCATTTTTGGGTTTAGGGTTTAGAGATTAATTTGGAAGGATCACTTCCGTATCTTTTCCTTGGAAATTGCATATTATTTAAAAATATATTATTATCAGAAATCGAGTCAGCAATTAATAAAAAAATCATGAATAGATGGGAATGATCCAGCTCGTCCTGTATTGTTCGTCTTTGAAACGAACATGTACGTCTTTTACAAGACGTACGCAATATAGATTTTCACGTACGTTCTTAGTACGTACTTTTTTGTCTGTATATCAATACGGCCTTTTACGTACGTACTCAAAACGTGTTTTTACATCCCCGACGAACCGACGTAAAAAGGACCTAAAATGTACGTCTTCAGTACGTACTGTGTTTGTTGGGTGGTTCTTCGCTTGGAATCTGTAATCCACTTCTATTTAACATTTCGAAAAATTTTGTATTTTGGAGGACACCTCCATCTGAAATTCTTTTGTTGGTTCCAAAATCCGCTAAAATAAATTGATATTTGGCATTTACAATTCCTAAAAGAACCTATGTCGGCCTTTATAATTGAAAAATTCAGATCCACTTCCAGGTGGCGGAATGATATCAATATGTTTTCCGTCAATTGCACCCAAGCAGTGTGGAAAGTTCCATCGCTCTTCAAATAATTGTGCTATTTCTTTCAAATCTTCCTGGCATTTGGGAAACTGAAAAAGAAAAACAATAAATAGAGAATGTTTAACACGTACCTTATGATAGTGTTTTATTGTTTCAGCCTGCATCTATACAAGAAACACAACATTTGAATGTTGCTGGTGACGCGGATTTTTCTGCCCATGAAGAAACGTCGACATCAAACAACGCCAGTTTGCTAACCGAAGATGAAAACGTTCCATGTTTATCAAGGAAAATTAACACTTCTGGATCAAGACCTGGCAAACAAAACCGCGAATCTTTGACCAATGATGTTGTGTACAAGAACATGTCAAGCGTCCACGTATAGAAGACCGTTTTGACGTTTTCGGAAAAAGTGTTGCCATCAAACTCAAGGAAATTGACAAAAGACAAAGCCTCATTGCAGAAAAAAATATCAATGATGTTATGTTTGAGGCCGAACTTGGCACATTCAAGTCCTTCATCCCATTTGTCCAGTTCTAGCCTTCGTACTACTCCTACACCAAGTCTTAGTCTCAGTTATATGCAATGTATCCAACCAGCGACATCTCAACGACAGCTTAACACTCAGTATATCAACAATTCTCAATCCCATTAGTTTTCTCAGAGCAGCCCCGCACAACATTCTTCTCAATATCAAGAAAACCAACAGCCTCCTGAAAATGTAGTGCTGATGGAATCTCGTGAAGAAGACGCTGCCTCTTATTTTAGCACCGTAACAGTCCTTGATTATTATTATAATAGAATAACTAATAAATGCGTGTTTCTAAATAATAATCTGTTTATTTAAGTACTTACCTTCAAGTATTCTTTGCACAGAGCTTTGTACAAAGCAGCACACGTTTCCGGAATTATTTTTCCAAGAGCTTGAAGTGAAATAATTGTGGAATATTTCATGTCTTCGTAACTTCTTCCTGTTGCTAGGAATCTTAAAGTTGCAGTTAATCTCTAATATGGTGAAATGCAATTTCTCATGACCGTGTCCTTCTTTGTAATAAAAGGACTAACCATAGAAAGCAATTTTAAGTATGTTCTCTCGTCCATTCGTAGATAGTTCTGGAAATCTTTAGGTTCAAATTTCAATTCGTCCAATAAGTTAATATGACTGTAACTTTTTAGTTTCAACAACCAATCTTTGCACCATTTTTCACGTTTTTTCTTACGCTTTTGCACGCTTCTTTATAACTAATAGGAGGCCTAGCACTGCCAATGCGTCGTCATCTGTCGGTGCCATGGGGTCAAACTCAGAAAAACTAGAATTTCACCATAGCATGTGTGGACTTTTCAGGTCTCCGGTATGGTATACCTGGACAGTTTTACCTGTACAGGTCTACCTCTCAGGTGTACCGGAACGTGAGTGGCCGGCATTATAGGTATTACGGTCTTAGCGATATCGTTGAGAGATGAACTGTTTTGCCACTTTTTGTGTGGAGAGTATACGAAATACTGGTGGTACTGGTTTTTATCAGTCATATGTCCGTATTACATCTGTGCATTTTTCCGTGTATTTATTCATGTAGTTCAGGGTGCCAACATTATTTTGTTTTTCATAATGATTTATATTATGTTGCGTTTGAAGTTTTCCGGTTGTGACCTTGAACTACATGAATAAATATACGGAAAAATACACAGATGTAATACGAGCATTAGTCAGTAATAGTATTTTATCTACGAGCGTTTGGTTATGACGTTTTTACATAACCATTTTTCTAGTATTTGAGTTAACACAACTAGTGGTGTTATGGACTAGGTTATGAATTCATAACACAACTAGTGGTGTTATAGACTAGGTTATGAATTCATAACACAACTATTTTTGGTGATTTGACAAATAATGTCAAAGTTAAACCTGTAAAGATAAAATGAAGGTAGAAAACAACTGAAAAATCATTCTTATTTTTCGCTTTGTAGATGAAACTTTGTACATCACACGTGCGTTTAAACATGACTACAAAACTCGTGTGATTAGAACGACTCGGTCTACGACCTCGTCGTTCTAATCTTTCACACTCGTTATTGTAATTATGTTCTTAAACGCACTTGTAATGTAAATAGCTATTACATTATTAGCCAGGTAAAACAGTTTTTACTGGCGATTGAAGGAAATGACTAGCGAGCCGTCAGGCGAGCTTGTCACTTTCAAGAGCCAGTAAAAACTGCTACCTGGCGATGTACAGGTGAGAGCTGCTGGCTGCAGATAAAATTTGCAGTACTTGTGTCTCTGATAGTATTTTTAAAATTTTTAGAACCAAATATGTTGGAGACGGCTCGACCAAATATAATACCCCTGCCTCCCGCGTACAAAATAGGGTACGATTTCCTAAAGCTCCGTTTCATGATTAACCTATAGTATTTATGACGCTGAGATGCCAAAGGGGCGTCCGCTGGCTAGGTAGCGGTGGAGTGGGTTGCCAGGGGGTTGCAAAGTCGGGAAAAAAACGAAAATCTGGAACGATTTCCTGAAGCACGAAACCTTCACGAGTAGAAGGTTATGTTTCATAAAGTACCCTAGATGGTCCGCTGGGTGGGCGGTGATGGAATCAGCGTCCGCTGATGGCCCAAAAAGGGCCGAAAACCGTAGTTAGGGAAACTATTTCCTAAAGCTTGAAATTTTGATGAAAGCTACTTTTTTATTGAGATTTACGAAAACAATCGTCCGCTGCCTGTATGTCAGTGGAAAAGGCGTCCGCTGGTGGGATCAAGCAAGATAAAGGTACCGAGTATAAACGCGTTAGGAGGCACCAGCGGACGACTTTTCCACCAATCTAAGGTTTTCAGTAATTTCTCTATGAATATATGCATCTAGCAAACTTTAAGCTTTAGGAAATCGTTTCCGACAATCTATTCACAAAAAAACATACGTGTAAAACTACTGTAAGACTTTTAACAAAAACCACTCTTTAGATTTGAAAAGTTTATTTACGTAATGACGCGAAAAAGCCGACAGCACAAATACGAATCGTAGTTGATTTTACAAATGCCGTAAAAAGACTGATTTTGAAATATTAGGGCCAAAATTAAATGTTACCAAATAATTATGTAAACAACTACATAAAAAGGGGTGCTTTGTGTTATTGTCCCTTGGGTCCAAGTGACCGAGCCGGAGCAGGTAGAAGCGTGAAGGGTTCCGTGGCTTATTTTCTACATTCGGCCATCCTGTAGATACGGCCTGTCCTCAGGTGTCGTGGATCTACAACAAATTAAACTGATTATAGATTATCCCCTATTCTTATGGAAATCAATTGATCTCCCGGGATAATGTTGCAGTAGAGAAAGAAATTTGTTGATTTCTGGAGACCCGTTGGTCTTTGAAGATCCGTTGATCTTCAATTATAGTTCGTTTTTGAGACAGGGATCCGTCGATCCCTGGAGATCCGTTGATCTCTTTTGACCCGTTGGTCTTTGAAAATCCGTTGATTTTCAATTATAGTTTGTTTTTGGAACAGGGATCCGTCGATCCCTGGAGATCCGTCGATCTCATTGGACCCGTTGGTCTTTGAAAATCCGTTGATTTTCAATTATAATTTATTTTTGGAACAGGGATCCGTCGATCCCTGGAGATCCGTCGATCTCTTTAGTCTTTAGACCCGTTGGTCTTTGAGAATCCGTTGATTTTCAATTAAAATTTGTTTTTGAGACAGGGATCCGTCGATCCCTGGAGATCCGTCGATCTCTTTTGACCCGTTGGTCTTTGAAAATCCGTTGATTTTCAATTATTGTTTGTTTTCGGAACAGGGATCCGTCGATCCCTGGAGATCCGTCGATCTCATTGGACCCGTTGGTCTTTGAAAATCCGTTGATTTTCAATTATAATTTATTTTTGGAACAGGGATCCGTCGATCCCTGGAGATCCGTCGATCCCTTCAGACCCTTTGGTCTTTAGAAGTCCGTTGACCTAAAAATAAAATCGTTAATATGCGTATTAGTACTCACATATTTTCGTTTTGGAACGTAATCCAATTTTTCATATGGTCTTGAGCAACCACCGTTCGTTGTTTTCGTTTGGCAGTTTCTCGAAGGTCTTCGACTTCGTAACGATCGTTTATAAGTACTCTGCTAACTCGAAATGGACCTTTGATTGTGGGAAGTAGCTTTCTACTGGATCCAGTCGCGGCTTCGCTTGTGATACGTACTAGAACTAGGTCACCCTCGTTGTATTTCGTAGCTTCTTTTCTTCTTTTGTCATACTGTATCTTCTGTTTCTTTTGGTCTTCCGTTATGTGTTTGGATATTTGGTCGCGTAATAAACTTAAATCAAGTCTTTTGATTTCATGTTGGATATCGTTGATTATCCATGCTCCGGATATGTTTTTGGAGTTACATCCTATTAAGGCTTCCATTGGGGTTGCGTTGATAGCTTTGCTGAATGACGTATTCAGGGAACATTGGATTTGCTTCACAAAACGATCCCATTTTTCAGGCTCTTTCTCAACTGCTGATGTAGCTAGCGCGTTAACAATAGTCTTGTTGTATCGTTCACATTGGCCGTTTCCTCGTGGAGTAGCTACTGCATTGAGTATATGTTTGATACCGTAAGTGCGACAGAATATGTTGAACGACTTTGAAGTGAAGGCAGATCCTCTGTCGCTTATTATTCTGGTGGGTACGCCAAATAAATGTACGAGATTCATTAATGCCTTTGTAACGTGTTTGGTTTTTTGATCGTGCACTGGTTCCAAAACACAAAACTTCGTAGATGCGTCGACAATTACTAAAAGAAATTTATTTCTTTTCCTACTTGTCACAAAGGTTCCAACATGGTCAATATGCAGCGTGTGAAATGGTACTGCGACTTTATTGATTGGATGTAGTTTTCCCTGTTTAATTTGATCTGATTTCGTGTAGTAGGCTCAATTCAAACAAGCTTTGACATATTTAGTCACAAATCTCCTCATTTTCGCAAACCAGTAATTTTCCTGGATACGTTTCAGTGTCTTCTCAATGCCCATATGTCCTGCATTATCATGACAAAGTCTGCATATTTGCATTTTTGCCATTTGTGGAACCACCCATACTATTTTTTTTATTATCCAGCTTTCTATACAGTTTATTGTTTTTTAGTTTGTAGTTATCAAAATATTGTCTTGTTTCATTATTCACATTTCCAGAATTTAAAATACTTCTGATGTGATTGGTTTGTGGATCTTCCAATTGAGCTGCTACTATCCAGTCGGCTGTCTCTATCTATTTGATTTATTTCTTACATAGGTGTATCAATTGGGTTGCGGCTCAAGGCGTCCACATGTGCCATTTTTGAACCTGGTCTATATTCAATATCGAAAGTGAACTCCAATTCTTCCAACCACCATCTTCCTATTCTGGGATGAA